ACCGTTGGACAATACTCTGGTCACGATATAAGGCCCTTGCCAATTTGGGGCGAATTTGCCTTTTGCCTCGACCTGATGTGGGAGGATCTTCTTCAATACCTGCTGCCCTACTTCAAACTTCCTAAAATCTGGGGCGAATTTGGGGCGAATTTGCCTTTAGAATGACTACATTTTCTATTTTTTGTTTTCTCTAAAATAACTAAAGAGAAGGTCCTACTTTATTTACATACTTTCGAGTTATTATAGTTAAGTTTCGAAAGTGAGACGTTTAAAGAGTTTACATGGGCAGTGCATAGAATGTTCTACATACAGACAGTAAAAGAAAGAAAAGACTACATTAAACTACAACTTCAAATCTTTCTCATTTTTTGCATTCATGCTTCGAGTAGCTTACAAGATGAACCAGTGTATCAGTTTGTGTACCTGGATAATGAAAATACAAGAAGATGAAGGAGCAGTCATCAACAGTAGTAACACAGCAAAATACAGCAGTAGAAAGCCCAACACAGTAGCTTCAACACCTCAATCCAGAAATCCCAGCAACACGGAGAAAACTATTAAAAATGGAGAAGAAAAATAGTCCGGAAATCTCTCTTTGTTTTGTTTTTTCTAGATTTGAACTCTCTATGGTGTTCTTCTGCTCTCAATATTTTAGAAAATTTGGTTCTATCTTTTTTACTCTCTCCAAAATGAATTTGTCTCTGTATATCCAATGTATCCAGAGTGTATATCGAGTGTATACCACACTCTCCGCCCCCTCTTTTTTTTTCTTCTCTCTATCTAGTTTTTCCTCTTTTTTAGAACCCCCTTATCCTAAATTTTCTCTTCTATATATAGCAAAATTTCCGAAATTTTCAGATTTGTTTTTTTATTATTTTATTATTTTTTAATTAAAAGAAATTCCACTTACAAATTGCTTTTATTTTTTTAGAAAAATAAATCCCACCTTTATTTACTTTTATTTTTAAAATTCCAACTTTAATTACTTTTATCTTATTTGAAATCCCACTTTTTATTTTTTTAAAAGAGAATATCACTTTATTTAACTTTTCTTTAAAAAAACAAACCACTATCTTTTCTTTTTCTTTTAAAAATGCTACTTTCAATTACTTTAAATTTTTTAAATTTTCAGATACCTTTATATTTATTTTTTAATTCCAACCTTCTTTTACTTTTTNACAAACCACTATCTTTTCTTTTTCTTTTAAAAATGCTACTTTCAATTACTTTAAATTTTTTAAATTTTCATATACCTTTATATTTATTTTTTAATTCGAACCTTCTTTTACTTTTTAATTTTTTTAAAATTTCCATAAAACTTTTTATTTTTTAAAATTTTCTACATGCTTTTACTTTTTTAAAATAAGAATTCCACCTATTTTTACTTTTATATTTTTTTTATTCAATACTTCCCTTTTTCTTATTTTTTAAATCATTCCTGAAATTATTATTATTTTAAAAAAAAATAGAATAAATATTTTCGGATTTTTTTATATTAAAAAAAAACAAAAAACAAAAAAAATATTAATAGTGATAATTCACCTTTTAATTTTTTTTTGTATTTTTATCCTATAATAAAAAGTGTAATAAAGCTAAAATAATAGTAGGTTAAAACCCCCTAAAATATTTACATAAAAGAAGTGATAAAAAATTAAATGTTGTCAGAAATTAGGTGTTTACAGTGTTATAATGCTCACGAACTTCTAAGATTTACTAAATACAATCGTCTGAAAGAAAATTTTAAATTGTTTGTTTCGGTACAAAAGATAACAAACTGAATAAAGAGAGAGAGAGACTCTGGGCCTGCGGACGTCAGCAAGGTTACCTCGGTGTCTCTAGACTGAAGTCAGCTCCTGATCAAATCCTACTGCTGAGGTCCAAAAGCTGCTCCTGGATCTATGCAAAAGATGCACAGAGTGTAGCATCAGCACAACCGACCCCATGTGCTGGTAAGTGCCTGGCCTAACCCCGGCGAAGTAGTGATGAGGCTAGACAGGACCTACCAAAAACAACCTGTGCATATATATGCAATAAAAGGAAATATAAAGAATTTAAACAGCTAAGAGGGGGGAGCATGCTATGGGAAGCTAACAGTTTCAAATAGAAATCCTCAATAACAGAAAGAAGTAACAAAGCCAGAATGTCAACAAGAATCAAAAGTCAACAATTTGCATGGCATCACCCTTCGTGCTTTTACTCTCGTCCTCACTAAAACAATACACGGAATCACCCTTCGTGCTTTACGCTCTTCCTCACCCAAACAACAATCACAAGGCAAATAGGGTAAGGAAAGCTATAACCTCGAAGTAAATCAAATAAGAACAAGTAATGAAAGAAACAACATAACTCGGATATCAACAAAGAATCAGAAAGCAACAAATACACGGCATCACCCTTCGTGCTTTACGCTCTCGTCCTCATCAAAGCAATCATATAAATGAAATATGCACGGCATCACCCTTTATGCTTTTACTCTCTTTCCTCACCATATAATCAATAAAATCGGCACGGAATGGTACATCGTGCGGCACGGCTTCGTGCTTTACACTCTTTCCTCACAATAGCAAACAATGCACGGCATCACCCTTCATGCTTTATCACTCTTCCTCACCCAAGTAACAATCACAAATAAGGGGCAAGGGAGTAGACAAATAATGATAGAAATTCCGGCTAGGGAATACAAATAACCAGCTAACTCCCGACAAGAGAGCACAATTAAGCAGTTAAAAACCCGGCAAGGGAACAATATCAATAATCTCAGCATCCCGGCAAGGGAGCAATTCAAAAATTCTTTCTCTTTCTTTCACTTTTTCCTATTATCTCACTTTACCACCTGAGCCAACGCTCCAAAGGGGTTCAATCATTTCATATACTTTCACGCTTTATGATATACTCGAGCCAATACTCCAAGAATGCACAGATCATAATTCTTCCTCAAACTCTTCACATTATATGAAATTTATCAATTTAACAAGGAAGAGGTATCACAAAATCCGAATAAACACAAATAAGACTCACGGTCATGCTAGATTCCGGTGTATAGATACTCGTCACCATGCCTATACACCGTACTCAACAATTAGCAAATAGCAAACAACACTCTAATCCTATTCCCTCAAGCCAAAGTTAGAACAAACACTTACCTCGGTCCAAAGAATAGCAATCAACCCTCAAATACCGCCTTTCCTTTATAATCCGACTCCGAAACAACGATATCTAGGCATAATTAATTCAATAATATCAATAAAGACTCGATAACAAAATCCCATAGCTTAGATATGAAGTTCCTAGCATTCTTCCAAAAATACCAAAATTCGACCCCAGGCCCACATAGTTCAAACACGATGCTCGAACCAAAACCCGATTACCCATAACCCCAGAGTTCAGATATATAATTTATTTTAAGATCCGACCCCAAATTGAGGTTGAATCACTCAAAATTTCCAAAAACCTAACTCTACCCAAAACCCCAAATTTCTACTCTAAATTACATGTTTTAGGCCAAGAAATTCAATAGGCATTGATGAAAATGGAAGAGAATAAGTTAAAGATTACTAACCCAAGAGTTTATGGTGAAAGAATGCTTCAAAGATCGCCCTAGAACTTTGGAGAAGAAAGAGTTTGTGAAATTTTGTAAGAATCCCGTAAGGCTACTGTTCTGGATTTTAAAATTTAACTGGGCGAATTTGGCCTATGCGATCGCGGACAAAGGAGTGCGATCGCATAGAGTAAATGGGACAGGGCTCTGCGATCGCGAATGACACTATGCGATGCATAAAGGAAATAGTGAAGGCTGGCTAACACACTGCGATCGCAGAGGAAATAATGCGATCACGTAGAGCAAAATATAGGACCTCTCAGGCTAACACTATGCGATCGCGGGAGGAACTATGCGATCGCATAGAACAAACTAAAACCCTAAAAATTTACACTATGCGATCGCGGACATAGCTATGCGATCGCATAGCACAAAAGACTGGACACCAACAGACAGCAGTTCTACAATTTTTCTAAGTCTAAAACCATTCTGAAACACATCCAAAACACACCCGAGCCCTCGGGGCTCCTAACCAAACACATGCACTAACTCAACAACATCAAACGAACTTATCCGTGCGATCAAATCGCCTAAATAACTTCAAAAACAATGAATCAAACCTCAAAATCAAGAGTTTTTCTCAAACTTCATCAAGTTTCAAATTTAGGAATTCAAGCCCGAATCATGTCAAACGACGTCCGATTTCAACCAAATTTCATAGAAAGTGCTTAAACCACATATAAGACCTGTACCGGGCACCAAAACCAAAATACAGGTCCGATACCAATGCTTTCTAATTCATTTTTATTTCAAATTTTCATATTAAATTTCAGAAAATAATTTCTTTTAAAAATTCATTTCTCGGCTCGGGACCTCGAATTTCGATTCCGGGCATACGCCCGAGTCCCGTATTTTTCTACGGACCCTCAGGGACCGTCAAATCACGGGTTCGGGTCTGTTTACTTAAAATATTGACCAAAGTCAACTTTAACCATTTTAAAGCCACAATTTATCAAATTTCACATAATTTAACACATAAGTTTTTCTGGCTACGCGCCCGGATTGTGCACGCAAATCGAGGCAACTAAAGGTAAGGTTTTCAAGGTCTCGGAAGCACGGAAAAAGGGAGAAAATCGGTGATGACTCTTTGGGTCGTCACAATAGATCTATCAATTGTACATTTGTGACTCTAATACCTAAGAATGAGCACCCTACAAGTGTGAAGGAGTATAGACCCATTGCTTGTTGTTCAGTGTTGTATAAAATCATTTCCAAAGTCCTAGCAGCAAGAATTCAGAAAGTAATTACAACAGTGATATGTGAAGCTCAAACTGGATTCATTCTTGGAAGGAAGATCTCAGATAATATCTTCCTTGCACATGAACCGGTGAAGTCATATATAAGAAAATATATGTCTCCTAGATGCATGATTAAAATAGATCTTCAAAAGGCATATGATTCTATGGAATGGGTATACCTGGAGCAGATGTTAGATGAGATGGGATTTCCTAGACAGTTCATTTCATGGGTACTAGAATGTGTGTCAACTGTGAATTATTCAATCTTGGTCAATAGTGAGCCAACAGTTCCTTTCAATGCAGCTAAAGGACTTAGGCAAGGAGATCCAATTTCTCCTTTCCTATTTGCAATAGCCATGGAATATTTGAGTAGGATGCTTAATGAAGTGAAAGGAAGTAAAGGATTCAAATATTACCCAAAGTGCTCTACGCTATCAATAACTCATTTGTCCTTCGCACATGATCTTTTGCTATTTTCAAGAGGTGATATTGAATATGTGGATACTATTAGAAGATGTTTCATGGAGTTCTCTGATGCCTCAGGTCTTCAAGACAATAAAGATAAAAGCTCCATTTATTTTGGAGGGGTTACCAAAGAGGTTCAGAATAAAATACTGCAATTGCTAGAATTCACTAAAGGTGACCTACCATTCAGATATTTAGGGATACCTTTAGCTACAAAGAAGATATCCTTAATACAGTGGCAACCTTTGATCAACAAGATGGTATCTAGAATTACTGCTTGGACTGCCAAGAAGCTCTCATACGCAGGAAGGGCCCAGCTAATTCAAACAATATTGTTTGGTATTCAGGCATATTGGTCACAAATATTTGCTATTTCCTCAAAAGTATTAAATGCAATTGAGGCTTACTGTCGAAACTATCTATGGTTTGGTACCAATACAATTACGAGAAAAGCTCTGTTAGTATGGGAGAAAGTGTGCACTCCAAAATCAATTGGTGGATTATGATTGATAAAAATGAGACTATGGAATAAGACATCAATAATTAAAGCTAACTGGGACATTGAACATAAGGTGGACAGACTGTGGATCAGATGGGTACACTCTTATTATATTAAGAACCAACAGTTTGATCAAATGGTCATACCTATGCATGCAGGATGGATGGTGATGAGAATCTTTGAAGCAGGAAGATCTGTGACAGTAGTTCACTACATCAACAAAAACAACTTAATCAAGCAGATTTACCTTCAACTAATTGGCAACAATGAGAGGATATCATGGAAGACACTAAGGTTTTGGAATGATGCTCGACCAAAGCCTAGTTCACAATGTGGCTGCAGATGCAAAGGAAATTACTAACAGTTAACAGAATTGCTGCTTGGGGCATAAATGTGGATTGTGTATGTAAACTGTGCTATATGCACAATGAAACAAGGAACCATTTATTCATGGAATGTCCTTATTCTATGGAAATTTGGGGAGGGGTACTAAAATGGGTGAAGGTTCAGCATTTCAAAACAGCACAATGGGAGCAGATGGAGAACTGGATCATTGAAAGAGCAAAAGGCAGAACAAAAAGAGCTCAAGTGTTCAAGATGTCATACACAAAATGAGTGTGTGCAATATGGATAAAAAGGAATCAACGCAGATTTGAAGGCAGGTCAAAGAATTCAAGTCAACTGGTGAGAAAAATTGCTTATGTGTGTAGTGTTCGAGCACCAGCCAGAATCAAAGATTGGATTCAGCAGCTTAGAGTTAGTTAATTCTGGTAGTATATGTTTTAGTCGTTTGTGAGTACTAACATATAGTAGATTGTGATGTAGTCTACTATGGAACTTATATGTAATCATTTTGGTGATTAATAAAAAAAATTAATTACCAAAATTTTTTTTAGTAAGAGTACCATTCTATAAAACATTCAAATTTGTTTAATTACCCTCCATGCCCCTTTAGTAATCCCTTATACTAAAACTAAATTTTCTATTTCACTTGTTCATTTTAGCAAATCAAGAAAACTTATTATTTTCTTCTATGCCCTTATCATTAAATACATAACTTTATATTTCCAATAATAATAAAATAAACTCTTAATTAATAATTATACAAGAGGAGTGCAATATCAATAGTGGACTAGTAGAAAAAAAATGAATGGAGTATTAAATTTTAACTTTGACGTGAATTTCCACGTCAAATTAACTGCCACTAATAACAAAGTCAAATTACCTGTTTAAACTCTTTAGCTAATCAAACACTATCAATATAAGGAAATTGGCGAGTAAAATCTTTGTTAACTTGCAAGTGCAAATCACAGGAATTGTATGATGTGAATTGTGATGTTGTTTGTGATTGGACTAAATGTGTTAAGACTGACAAATTAAAAGGTTAAATGCGCAATATTGTTGAAAGTGCAGTTCACATCCAAGAAGAAGAAAAAAGAAAAAGAGAAACAAAAACAAAAGGAAAACTTGGCGGGAAAATGTAGAAGCGAGAGGCCAAAAAGTTTGAAATTCGCAAACTACGCAAAATCTGCTGTCGAAGAGTGAGAGGAAGAGAGAGATGGCGGAATTTGAAGACGAAGAATTCCTAGCTCAGGTAGCCGCAGCAGAAGCTGAAGCTCTTTCCACCGCCACCGCCGCCAAGCGTCGCCGGATCTCTGCCGCCCTAACCACCACCGCGAAGCACAACGTCACCACCAATAACACGATCAGTGTGGAAGAAGGAGCTTATATCGCGGCTCTGAAAGGGAGCAAAAGCGTCGTATTCCAACAAAAAGGACCGACTAATGCTCTCCCTACTCCGATTAACAACAGCTACAAAGCACATAGCAATTATTTGCCTAGTTCCGATGCTGCTGCTGGTTCGTGCTTTAAGTGCGGGAAATTAGGTCACTGGGCTCGGGATTGCGATGTTAATCCACCGAATGATGATTCCACGAGCTTTCCTGATAAGAAATGTGCATGTGGATTAGGTAATTGCCTTGTGCTTACTGCTAATACTGAGAAGAATCGTGGCCGTAAGTTCTACAAATGCCCTATCAGACAGGTATTATCATTTCAACATAGCGTACAAAAATTTCATGCTTCTATTTGTATAGTACCTTAATTGAACGAAATATTGTGTTGAAATTTTTCTCAAAAATCTCAACTCAATGTTAGAAGAACAATAAACACTTTTCTTGTAATTGTATTTTCTCTCTTGGCTTGTGTTGCACTTTCACAAAGTGATTTTTCTTCTCAAGAATTAACAATACGGCAAATTTTCTCCATCACCCTTTATGTAGCATCACCTATATACCCTTTTCCTATTTGGGTGAGGTAATAATTTTCTTAAGGTAAAAGTTTATTCCAAAAATAAACTTCAATCAAATTTTATGGAAAATTGGAAATCACATCTTAACGAAAACGTGACTGCCGAACCATTGTCAAAGTTGGATTCTCGTGAATCCAAATTAATGTTGGATTCAATTTATACGTCCTTTGTGGACTTTACCTTTCCAATTCCAAATTGGTAAATTAACTAATATTATATATATAACCTTTATATAAATTAATATTATTTTATATTATATATATCACATATATATTTCAACCAAGAGATATAATTTAATTTTCTCTTCCAAATAGAAAACTTCAATCCGTTCACAATATTAATTATAATCTCTGTGCTAGCAAAGAATATAATAATATTTCATTTGGACTAATAACTAAATTTATTTGACTAATTAAATTCTTTAATTTACTTATCAAATAATAAAGTAATTAACCCTTTAGCAAAGATCAGAACACTCGTTAGTGTGCGACCCCATAGGTTCAATACTAAGCCGGTAGTAAGTTGATCACATCAATATACTAATCAAGGATGGCGTCTAGCAACACTCCTTAACGACCGGATATAATGAAGTATACAATTTACTCTCAAGAACCCGTAGAAGAATAATATAGTAATTCCTTTTGTCCTTATAGCTCTGGGTCACCCTAGGATATGGTTCACTTGTCAAATCCTAATAGGCGACCAACTATGCGTTCATGTCAAATATAATCGACCATTGAATGATCTAAGAAACTCTTTTTTTCTTTCATTCAATTGCCCTGGCCAAGGTCTTAATTTGGTCGTTTATAATTCATGACAACATGGAGCTTAAACTCATTACCAAGAGTTGACAGATTCCATCTTGATCAATCACTAATTTTACAAGCATTTAATCGTACCAATATCCTTTCAACTATCGCTCTAGGGCCATAGGTATCTAGTATCAAAGCACAATAAATAACTTGTCAACTACTATGATGATCTCAGGTCATAGGAAATTCTTACATCACGTTCTTCAAGAGAATATCCTATTGACAGTTTATGGTAATTCTAACCATTAGGAATTATCCAATGAGTCAGTTCAATAATCATATCTCTATATGCATCAACTATTTATGTGATTTAGTTAATGAGATCAACTAATCTTCATCCCATAAAGACGATCACATAAATATTGATCTAGCCGGATTACTAATGTCCAAATTAATAATCCTACGATCAAGAACAAATTTAGATTAAGTTGTAAGAGACTATACTCTCATTATCAAGATCTCCATTACGATGACAAGTCTCAACATTTAATCAAGGACCTTATTAAATTAATAAAGCTATTAATAATAACTATGATAAAAGAATATCAAATGCCATATATTTTTGTCACGACCCGAAATTCCCACCTTCAGATCGTGATGGCGCCTAACATTTTACTTGCTAGGCAAGCCAACGTTAGAATAATATTATCTATTTTTTAAAATAATTTTTAAAATTATTAATAACAAAGAACAATTACGGAAGTAAAGTCTAAAATGTAGTGAATAATCCATAAAAACAACGGTGTCTAAATACCGTCCCAGAATTGGTGTCACAAGTGCACGAGCTTTTAGAATAAATACAATTAAAGGTCTGAATAAAATAAAGTTGTCTGAAAATAAACACGCAGCTAAATAAAAATAGACGGGGACTTCAGAACTACGGACGCCATACAGTTAAACCTCAAGTCTCATTCGAGTAGCTGAAATTAGAGCAAGTCTATGGCAAACCGCTGGGACCAACTCCGAAATCTGCACAAGAAGTGCAGAGTGTAGTATCAGTACAACCGACCCCATGTACTGGTAAGTGCTGAGCCTAACCTCGACGAAGTAGTGATGAGGCTAAGGCGGTTCACTTACATTAACCTGTACGCAATATTAATAACAACAACAAATAATAGAAATAAATCAGGTAACTCATTTATAATAATTAAAGCCAACTCAGCAGTCATAATCCATTATTATTTCAACCAATTCTGTTGCAGCGTACAACTCGCTCTCACAATATATTCACATTCAATTCTGTTGCAGCGTGCAACCCGCTCTCCCAATATATTCCTTTTAATCAAGTCTGTCATATATTTATTTCAATCAAGTATATA